TCATCCATCCATCAATCATCCATCCATCCATCCATCATCCATCCATCAATCATCCATCCATCCATCCATCATCCATCCATCAATCATCCATCCATCAATCATCCATCCATCCATCATCCATCAGAAATATATTCTGCATGTTTTAGTCCAGCAGGATGAAATATTTTCTGATTTATGTCAGAAATAAATGGAAAATAGAAACATTTTAGTAATAATTTCTACATTTGAACATAAGTTTAAACAGCTATAATTAAGCAGATTAAAATATTAAACTCATGTGTTTCATTATATTATTTAAATTAAACTGTGGTTAATGTTGATTAATTTAGTTTGAATGAATTTTTTGGAAAAAAGCGGCAGATATTAGGAGGTTTTCTTCTTCTTTCAGCTGCCTTTCATTTCTGTGTGATTTGTATTTTGTGTTGTGTATAGGATTTGTTTTGTTTTTAAAAGAAAATGAATAAATGTATCAGATCAGAATGTTAAAGTGAGACCAGAAACAAACGTCATAAATATTTCACATTAGACTAAATTACATTTGGATTTTTTAAAGAGGAAAAGAGTTTTCTTCACCAGACTTTTATTTTGAAATGTGTTGCTGTCATGTGGCTGAGTGTGTGAGTGTGTGAGTGTGTGAGTGTGTAAGTGTGTGAGAGTGTGAGTGTGTAGATGTGTAGATGTGTGTGTGTGGGTATGGGTGTGTATCTGTGTAGGAGCAGTCTTCTTCATCATCATCATCATGTGACATGAAAAACAACCTTTTAAACTTTTGTTTTTTGACAAAAACTTTCTGTTTTTAAATAAATTTTTGTTTCATTTAGTTTCTAATTAAACAGATTTTAAAAATATTGACTCAAGAAGCCAAGTCCTCTTCAGAACATCAGGTTAACCTTCAACCCCAGCTCCTGGTCCTGGTCTGGTTCTGGTTCAGGCCCTGCTCAGAGCAGCTGGACTGGCCTCTGGAGCTGGATCAGAACCAGAGGAGGAACCACAGTCAGACTGCAAAACCTGACCCGGTCCACCAACATCAGAGCTGGGAAAACGAGACCTGCAGAGAACTGGTCCAGTCTGCCAGGAAGCAGCAGATGAGAGTGGGCGGAGCTACAAGTTCACACCTGCAGCTGCTGCTTCCTGCTGTGCAGCTGAGAACTGCTCTGTTTCCTGTCAGCCTACCACAGGATGTCTCAGAGGACAGAGTCTCAGAGGACAGTGTCTCAGAGGACAGAGTCTCAGAGGACAGAGTCTCAGAGGACAGTGTCTCAGAGGACAGAGTCTCAGAGGACAGAGTCTCAGAGGACAGTGTCTCAGAGGACAGTGTCTCAGAGGACAGTGTCTCAGAGGACAGTGTCTCAGAGGACAG